CATATGTACCAAAGGCTTTTATGGTTTCTGTAATTAAACCTTTACTTAAGTAACTGTCTCTTGACCCAGATGACTTGGTCAATTATAAACTTATATCCAATCATCTTTTATCTAAAATTTCTCGTTAAAGTAGTCGCCAAACAGGTGTGCGACCGATTACACCATAATGAAATTTTTGAAGAGCCTGAATCTGGTTTTAGAGCTCATCATAGCACTGAAACAGCTCTGTTTGTGAAAGTCGCTTATTATTTTTCTCATGGCCTCAGATAATGGTTTTGTATCTGTACTTGTCCTGTTAGATCTCAGTGCTGCATTTGATACAGTTAATCATAATATTCTTTTAGAAAGACTTGAATACTTTGTAGGAATTAAAGGTACAGCTTTAGACTGGTTTAAATCGTATCTATCTGGTCGATTACAGTTTGTTCACATTAATGACAAATCTTCCTCATGCTCAAAGGTTGCCAGTGTTGGGCACATTACTTTGAAAAAGTAATACGTTATAGTTACTAGTTACTTCTCCCAAAAAGTTACTGAGTTACACCACGATAAAAGTAACTAGTTACTAGTAACTATATCGTTACTTTTGCGTGTCTCGCCCCCGTAACCCTCACCACCCGGCCCCCACCTTCTTGTCTTGTGTTTCAAAAGCCAGCTGAATAGAGCGGACGACAAAGACAAGAACCTGCAGAGAGTTTAGCATTTATTGCAACTCAACATAAATGACATCAGGGGGGAACGCTATCTGATGGGCCTATAAACCCCGTCAGACAGCGTTCCCCTCTTCTTAACATGGGGGGAACGCTATCTGATGCAGTGTAAATATCATCGGGCTGCATTACCTCTTCTTATGGGTGAAATATTTTTTAACAGGGCGTTTAGATCTGGTGAGTGAATGAAATTAATAACTAGGGATGTCTAATTCTGAAATCTTGTGTGTTTGGGTTGTTATATAGATACTGCAACATCCATCCATCCATCCATCCATCCATCCATCCATCCATCCCAATTTCTCCCTTTCTCCATATAGGCTAACATTTGATCGTTCACGCTCTCCGTAGTTTCCCTGTGGCGCGAGCACAGGGCGGCTGTTACCTGCCTGTAGCGAGCATACACGTTTCCTGTCACTTGTGCGGTGAATCGTGCCCCCTGTGCTGTGCGGAAATGCAGGGGAAACCGTATCTGATTGGGAAACACAGCTCGACGTAACACCGGTATTTCCATCTGGAAAACGGTGTTTTGTTGCTGGAGTCCTCCTCACTCTCCATCTCTCTGTGTGTGCTGTACGTTAACAAACGCCAGCGGAAACACCCACCTACCTTACTGGCAGACGTAATTTCACTATACATCAGCCAATCTCATCCTCCCCTCTCTCATGACTAAGCACGCACGAGTCCTATCATGAAAAAAAAGGTTCATTGTGTGACCTCAGTAATGGGCAGTAATGGGGTGTCGGGAAGTTGTGGATAGTTGGGATAGTTACAGTCAATGTAATTAGTTAGATCACTCGTTACTAAAAAAGGTAACGGCGTTAGTAACGCCGCTACTTTCAATGCCATTACTCCCATGACTGAAGGTTACTTGTGGAGTACCACTGGGATCAGTGCTAGGACCAATTCTCTTTACTATATATATGCTCCCAATTGGTAGAATTATTAGACAGCATGGGATTAATTTTTACTGCTATGCTGATGATACTATATCTGTCTATAAATCCAGATGAAGCTAACCCATTACATAGATTACTGGCATGTCTTGAAGACATAAAAAACCCGGATGAATCTTATCTTTCTGCTCCTTAATGCAGACAAAAAAGAAGTCATAGTCTTTGGATGAGAGTCTTTGAAAAAGTAGCTGATTAGTCAGTCACTTCATTTGGATCGTATTAATCAGATAAAAAAGTAAAAAATCTTGGTGTTATTTTTGATCAGAACCTGTCATTTAAATCCCATATCAAAGAGGTTTCTAGGTTTCCTTCTTTCATCTGCTCAATATTGCAAAAACTTTCAAATATCCTGTCCAGGGGTGATACTGAGAAACTAGTCCATGCATTTGTCACTTCAAGGTTGAACCATTGTAATTCTTTACTATCAGGGAGTCCACAAACTGTAGTCAAAAGCCTTTAAGCTGATCCAAAATGCTTCAGCCACAGTTCTAAATTAAATAGTCATAAAAAGTTCCATTCACATAATTTACCAGAAGTTACCCTTGCTTCCTCATAAATCAGATAACTGACTTTCTGCCAACAGTCGTAACTGGCAGTTTCCAGCATTGAAACAATGACTACACATCAATGAGTTGGTATGACATGATGCTGTTGTCTTTTGTATCATGAAAAGATCCATTATTTAAGCTCTAAGACTGTTTTGCTGTTGGTTCCATGAACATACTGCGGTAGAAGCTTCATCAGATAATTGCAGCACCAGGGCAACTGGTTGTCCTAGATATTTTACTTTCAAGTAAGACCGATGTCTGCTGCTAATGGAGATTCAAATAAAAAACATTTTATATGAGGAAAAAAAACAGATATCATAACTTTTATTTGCTTTTTTAATAGGAAAGGAAGGTGGATATTTCATTTTAGGATTAAATTAAGATGTAAGCCTGCGGATGGACACCGCCCATCCTAATTTTACAAGCCAGATCTTGTTAGAACATATTATAAAAGCTGGGTTATTCCACTTTATCTGTTAGAAAGAATCAGTCTTTACCTTTGTGGTCGGAAATATCTTTGAAAGTTTTTTGGATTATGATGAGTTCCAAGAGAACATCTGCCCTAAAAGCTATTTCATGTTCTCTATTTTGTTTAATCTGTTTTTTAATGATAAGAGTCAGACTTTTTTTTTAAACCATCAAACCCAACCTTCTAATGTTAATGGGGGGCAACACTTACTGATCTGCTGGAAATTATGTTTAAAAAGATTCCTGTGTAAATAATGAACGGCCCAAAAAAAACGTTAGAGTAATGCTATGTTCAGATCGCGCATGATAGAGACTGAAGAAGCAGCTAGTTGAAGCCAATGGTTGACGTGCATCAAGGCGCATCAAAAGGTCCTGCAGCTTGTTTTGAGCAGCAGGAGCAGCACATCTTGACCCGTAGAACCAGTTGAAGCAGTACCTCATGAGCTTCCGAGTATCTGAGGCACGTGAAGTGCTGCTCAAGCGGCAGCTCCTGGAGTTAGAAAAATTTAACTTTCAATGCTTGACAGCCACATTAACCAATCAGAGATGCTGATCTGGGAGCTGGCAGGAGCCAGACACAGAACCACTGATGCAGATCGCTATGATCTCTCCTCTGGAACAGTTTAATAAAATCTAAATTAACTTAAAATGTCAAAACCTGCAGGCTAAATACAGTAGTAGCTATTTAAAATTTTCTCACTTTCCTTGAAGGGACCTTGGCTGAACTTTGGCTGATCCTTGGCTGGTCCCTGGCTGGTCCCCTACAATTCCTTTTTAAACCTCTATATTTGTACTAAAAATATTCTTTCTGTCATGATTTGTGGACATTAAGATCTAAAGAGAAGCATTATCTCCTATTCAGACCCTGTCATTCAATTAAAGGGTGGAGTCAGAGTAAAAAAAAAAAAATATGCAAAAGGGGGTCACTCCAGGGGCTGGAAGTCGGAGGGGATTTTGCTGGGAGTTGGATTGAAGTGGATTGCCAAAACGCTGGTGTGTGACTGGGAATGGCCATTTTGAATGGCTGCTACTGTATGCTCGCTTTTATTATTCTGGTGCTTGCAATTTGGGTTACATACATGGAAAACGCCTTCCAGCAAACATTAGTGCAAAACCCTGAAGAGATGACCAGGCCAGAGCTGCTGTTTCTGGGGATTTCCAGTGACGGAGTACTGCTGGTGCACGTAGGCCTGTGCTGCTCTGACAGCGCAGTAATATATTAAAACTGCAAATATAGCAAAGCCACTCTCTGCCACTTAACACAGAAGCAGCAAAAGCATCTGAAGCATTTGGACACTCTTTACTGGACACGCTTCAGGAGCGTCAAAGATGCTTTTGATGTTTTTTTTTTTTACTTTATTTTGACATCCAAGTTGTACTGGTAACACAGGAAGTTAACTTTAACTGACTTTTTAATAATCTTGCATGAACTAAGATATGAAAGTGTGACAATTAAATTAAAAAAAAGACGAAAAAATCTGCATGGGAATCAAACCTCTCATTTTAGAAAATGTATTAGATGTCAACCGGTCATTGGTAGCCCCAACCTGGAAACACATTTCTTCAAAACCTTCTGAACCTTATGCTTCCCCATTCAATAACACGCAATTAGACAAGGTCAGTGCACAAAGAAGGACTATGATTATTGTATCTCCATCAGAATCGTCAGCATCTTGTCCTGTTTGCATTTTATTGTATTGTTTGCTCAGTTATTGCCTTAAGTGTATCTGACAATAACGTCATTAAAAATATATTGAGGAAAAAAATCCATTAAATGTTGCATTACATAATGTTGCATTACTGGATTTTCAGTATCAGTGTTCTTTTCTTTCATCTGTGTTTACATTTTACCTATTTTCCAACAAGTCACGCAATGAAACCCTTTGCCAAGCTTCCTTCTCTCTGTTTGCATTCTAATTCCTGTTTTCAGGTTTTCAAAGCTGGCATGACCAACCTTTAGGAAGCACAGTTTCTAAAGACAAGATCTTTTCACTGATTACTTATACCATAATATTCAAGTCAAACTACAATCGAACATCTTATCACGTAGTAGAACAATTAAAGGCTGGTAAAATAAATAAATAAATAACCAGACCTGAGCAAGTCTTTGTAATAAAGATTTAAAATGTAAAAAAAAAAACTTTTCATCCAGATAATATGAAACAAAATATCTCAGAAAAACACGTGAAAAAGGAATCAGAGGACAAAAGAGAAACAGCTGCAGTAGATCTTACGTAAAACTGTAGTTTACACTTCATTGAAATGGTGGATAACAAACAACATTTTTCTTTTGAAAAAATTTAATCCAGGAAAAAATAAATGTGTTTCGATAACAGTTGTTTTTATTTCGCACCTTCATTTTACCCGTGCATTGCCAAATAGTAGCTTATAGTTAAACAGGAGGGTAAGGGATTATGTTGGATGACATCACAATTATTTCAGATTTACATATGATAACATAATTTAGAAGCTATAAATTAATTAAAGTAAAATGTAAACTTTGTGATAACTGTTTCAGCTGCGCTGCATTATGACATTGTGTAGTCATCAACTCTAACTTAGCAGAAATCTGCTTAATAGCAAAATGTAAAGTACAAACATTAAGGGATTGAAAACAGGGAGACAAAAATCTGAGAATTTCCCATATAATTCTGTGATGCAGACTTAAGTGAAATAAACTGAAAATCCCAAACCAATGATTTTCAACCAGCCCATGATAATATTACCAATGTTAATGTTGTGTAACATAAATAGTCTTAAACCAAAGATTTTAAAAGATTATGAGAAATAATAATCTATTTATAAAAGAAATAATAATCAGGTTTTGATCATGAACCCTGATGAAGCTCAACTGTTTTTTCATCAGCCAGCTGTTTTATTATTTCATATTCATGTTGTCCTGGATGTGGTCCCGTTTTAAGATTTTTGTTTTCCAATGCTTCAAAGTAATGGCTCCAGTTTTCATCGCTGTCTGCTCCATAACCAAACACATGGATCTGTTAACAAAAACACATGGATAACACATTGTTATAGTTTTATCCTCTTGGTTTGCTGTATTTGTAAATGTGTTTGACCCGTCCTTTAATATTTGATTTGCCCCTTCCTCTTTTCACCATACTGTCATGGAGCCTTCACAACTTCCGCTTATCTATGTTTCTTAAGTCAGGCTTTGTACCCCAGGAATCTATAGCTCCTGATTTCAGAGAGCAGTATGCTGCTCTGTGAAATCCAAATCCAATATAAATCTTGGTTGATTGAAAGTTCAAAATCTCTGTTTACATGCACACATAAATAAAATGATCCAATCATGATGTGTGCAATGTTGTGCCATTTCATAATCAAAAAGAACAAACTCAAAGTTTAGTTCACACAGATGAAAATGAAATAGTTAATGTTCAAAGATTACTTTTTTTTTTTAAATGAACTAAGTTCACTAACCTATAAATGAACTATTTAAAGTTCATTTGGTAAATAAAGCCACAATCCTCCACAACAGAACCTCATATATTTAACCCTTTAAATGTGTGATCAGAATATATAAAAACGAATGGAAAATAAAATATACCTTCTATTCAAAGTATATTGGATGTGCAGTGAAGCCTTTATTTAACCAACGTACACAGAGACTCACTTCAGAAACATGCAGGGACATTGAGGTTCTGCTGAAAAGATCTGGATTCAAAATGATTTCTTACGTTCCTCATTCAGTAGCAGATGCTTCCCAAGATAGCTTGGATGCTTTAAAGTTGAAGTGGACTTGGTGACGTACAAACTTGTTTGTTACAGTAAGTCTTGGTGGGCACAAAAACATCGACAAAACTATCAAAAACGTGGAATAGCCCGACTCTCCATAACATGGAGTCTCCTGTCTGACATCATAGCAGTAAAGATAAGCAGGCACATGGATGAACACATGACAGAGACCAGAAAGGCATTGGTAAAAAAAACCCAAAAAAAAACAAGAGGAGCCAAACACCAACTACTGGTTGACAAAACTTCTTTGTTAAGTCCCAGTGGGCACAGTTTGCACAGGGACATTAGTTTTTTTCTGTCCAAGTCTTCCTTTGGGAGTACATGAAACTGCCAAGTGTTCTGCTAAACTGGCATCAGAAACCACAGTAGATGAGTCTGAACCGTGCGGACTAGTACTAGCAACAGACATGCTGGTCTGCCTTGCCGTTTGCCTTAATAAGTGCCATAAAACCTGATGTTATCCAATGAAAAGTGTCGTTGTCAAGTTAACAAATAGGCGAGCATGTGTGGTGCTCACTATTCTCAGAGTGAACGTCGCTCTCGTTCACTTTCATTCCTTCAAAACTGATCCGTTCAGTTCGCCGTTCATTAGAAATATGAACATATTTAGTGCACGCAGTTCATTGAATACATTCAGACAGAGCACTGGACATGTGGTTGTCAAAAAAAACTCTGTCTCTCTTGCATGTTTACACGAGACATTTTTTATCTAATCAGGCCTTCAATATGGAGCCTAGGCGGAAGTTCAACTGAAGAAACTGAATACTACCCTTCGACCGCCTACGAAAAAGCCAATCTGCTTTGAACCACGCCTCTTTGAAAGCCAATCAGCATCCAAAGTTCATCTTAAAAGGCCTCTGATCCGTAACTCGTCTGCTCCTGTGCGCAGGTGGTGGTTGCGCTGTCTGACTTTATTTAGATGACACCGTTTCAACCCACGTCCAGCCCCTCATCCACCATCGTAGCTAAAAAGTCATCAGAGCGTCATTCCTCCCAGACTCTTTCCGGATCTCATTTAAACCGGTCCGGCAGAAGACCGCCATGTTGAGCCTGGTTCTGCCAGAGGTTCTTTCCCAATGGGGAGTTTTTCCTCCCCACTGTCGCATCAAGCTTGCTCATCATGGACAGGTTCTCTCAACCTGTGTTATCCAAGCTGGACTTCCATCTTCCCTGAGTGAAGCTCTAGTATCAGCTCACAAGGTCCACTGGATCTCCCCATAAAGCTCAGCAGACCGTCTCTCTAACCAGCAGTCTACAGACTGACCAACTTCATCTATCTCCACCACCAGTTTCAGGCCTGGGGGGGTAACAGTCCTATTCTTTGCTCCTGTTCATGCATATCTATCAAAATTCAGCGCTATGTTTCCTGCTGAGGTTTGAGCGCCAAAGACTAAGTAATTGTATCAATAAATTTTGTCTAATTGTCTTTTGTCTCCATGTGAGTTTTTCAGATTGAACTGATCATTTGTGTGCATGGTGCGAGCTGAAATGTAATTTCACTATATATTTTTTTCTTTTTATTAGTTTGTGGTATTATTTGTCCCTTTTGCTATTCGTTTTGATATTTTACAAGTTTTCCTTGTTCATTTATCTTTACTGAGTAGTTTTGTTGAATGTTACTAGACTTGTCATCTTGACTGAAGTATTTTAACTGGAAGGTGAAATATTGTGTTTGATAGCATATTGAAGGGAAAATGTTTGCATTTATTCTGAATGATATTAAAATGTTAAATGTTAGATATTGTTTTATAGTCTAAGCCTCTCAGGTTGGTAGTCATAAAAAGCACCATTCACACGATAGAAGTTACCATCGGTTCTTAAAAAATGCTGCTGACTGACTTTTTGTCAACAGTCACAGCAGCCAGTTTCCTGCATCGGAACAGTGACGTCTGTAAATTTGTATGAGATGGTTAACTGAATCTTTTCTATGAGGACGATTAACAAAGATCCCTTTTGTACAGTCTATGAATGTGTTGCTGTTGGTCCTAATATGGGTCCGTTAAAATGCCGTGAGGAAAGTTTTATCAGATAAATTCAGGACAGAAGCAACTGTCTCACCCGAACACGCAAATCGTCGGATATTTCACTCCCAAATGAGCTGTACATCCGCAGACTTTGTGTCCAAGTTTTGCAATATATTCAATGGGGTGAGTCATATAAGGAATATTAGAAAATAAGATTTTCACGAAATTTAGTTCTTCAAATTTTATAAATAAGGATATCAGCATGGTAAAGAACTATAAATCTTCTTCTTTTAGGTTTAAGTAAAGTTGTATTTTTAATAAATAAATTTCTATTGATAAAAAGAAAAATTGGGGGTGTGTAGAGAAAATATTAATCATACTGAATTACAAATAGTAAAGTATATGAACATAATTACAGAAAATTACATTTAAAAAGTCAACTAAAACTTACCTCATCACAAATGTGAAGTGCAAGAATCAAAGTCATAAAACCGGTGGATGGATACGTCCCTTTTCCTTCCAGCCAGACCATATGAGAGTACTTCATAAAAGCTGGATTAATCACCTTTACCTGTTAGAAAGGATCAGCCTTTTCAATTTATCAAGCTTTACCCTTTTAGGCAAATGAAAAGTGTAGTGTATCAAAAGCAATACTTACCAAATCTTTGTTGGCATTAATTTTGGATTTTAAAGGTGCATATGATCTGTAGGATAACAGGACATGATTTTGGATTAAAAATCAAAGAGAAAAACACAGTTTTTAGTGTTAGTGTTGCACCGATGCCATTTTTTGGCCCCGATACCGATACTCGATACCTGGCTGTGCATTATCGGCCGATACCAATACCATAATAATGTAAAATAATTGCCATCATGGCTTTGTCAAGCTGCTGCCTACCTTTGTGAAGCAGGAAAAAATCTAATAAAAAAGTGAATCCAGTAGAACTTTTTATTGCCAATCTGGAATGGGTGACAATAGTTGAATAAACTTATGGCTCTCAAAATGGTATCGGTGCCCTATTTGTTGGTACTCGCAGATGCCACCATTTTAGGGCAGTATCGGGGCCCCGTCCGATACTGGTATCGGTATCGGTGCAACACTACTGTTAACTGATGTTTGCTGCTGTAACATCACTTAATGTAAAAAATGTAAAAGCGGGTATGAAATCTTCTTTATGGCACTACAGTTATTACCACAACATAAGGTAGAAGAGATGGCAGAAGGTCTCTGTATTTTTCTAGGTACCAATTTAAGACCTTTTCCAGAAGAACTTAGAGGTCTATTCTACTGTAGGTGGGTGGATTGATCCAAATATCGTTAATATTAATACCAACACTGGTATTGATATTGAAAAATAAAAAAATATTGATACCTTTTCTCTCTGTTGCATGGACTGACTTAATAATATCCGCCAAAGTCTCCTTGTCTGTCACAACACTTTACAGCTTGCCCTCCCCTCTCGTCACCATCTTATACCATACCGTGGCTTAGTATTGCCAACAAAACAAGCAATATTTAGTTTTAAATTGCTTCGAAACATTGTAAAAATCCCCCAAACACTAAAAGATCAACTGTTCCATGATACATAAAACTTAAATACAAAAAAGTATCGATATCAGTATTGATATTGTCAAAATCTAACCTGAATTTACTTGGTATCGGATCAATACCGAAATTCCCAGTATTGCCCACCTCTGTTCTTTACTCTTCTTTGTTTCATATACCTTACGTGTACTGTGTAACCATGGCCAGTTCTAGATGGGGGCCAAAAGGGGCCTGTGCCCCCGTACAACTGGTCCTGACCCTATAATAAATAAGGTTGTACAAAAACCTCAACTGATAGGTACCTTGGAACAGTTTCATATTAATAATGATTTCAAAATAATAAATAATGGTAATTTGGTTTAGAAACGCCTCTGTGTATGGTCTTAACTTTCAATTAAATCGCTTTACCCTGTTTTTTTCCTCGGCAAACGTAGATGTAGCCAATATTTAGTCTGTAATTCATCCTATGACATATTTTATCTTTCTGTTTACTTTATTTGATCATTTCGATCACCTTCCATTGTATTTGTCCAGTAGTAAAATGTTTGTTTTAATGTTTCTAACTTAAAAGCACTGCAAATTATACTCGACTGTATAGGAATAGTTCACTCAATTTAGACAAAAATACAAACACATTGGACACTCACCGCCCAGAAAATCCTGTTGTAAAAGCTTTCATAAGCCAATCAAGGTCTTGTATTTTGAACGGAAAAAGCACAAGATGAGTAGAGTTATCTAAATCGCTAGCACTCTCTGGGTACATGACACGGTATGTTGTCTTGGTTCCAACGTCTTCTTCAAAGCCTTTGGTTGGAGCAAAGTTCATTCTAAACAAAACAAAAGAGCATATTTGGTTGACCTTTCAACTTAACTTGTTTACTTAACAAATAAGGAGGTGATTCCTCACCTTATGATGACATCTTGGTAATCTATCAGGCGTCCATAACGTGATCCTTTCAGATTAACTGAATTTCCCACTACTGCACAAGTCCTACACCTTTCCGAGCAAGCTTTCCCAAGATCAGGAACGGGTGGAAATATCTCAAAGAGTTTACTCACTGTATTTTTATAGAAAGCAAAGTCACGGTGTTCAATCTGTATGCGCTGGAAAACAAAGGTGTTGTTTAGGTCAGCTTTGAAGTAACACCTGAACTGAAACATGCAACCCCTTATTTATTATTAATGTTTTGTTGTTTTTTTTTCAGCATACCTTCCACCAGTTAAAATCATCCTCTGACAGCTTTGTCTTTGCAGACAGAAACGGTTTGATTGCACGGTTGAGACGACGGACAAACAGCATGTCAGCGTTTTTATCAGAAAAACAAGCAGTCGGGGCAAAACTCTGTAGCCATCCATTGCAATCCGAAAATGCACTTAAAACAATCAATCCAACACCGATTAGGGAAAGCAGGAAAATGGCAGGCTTTAGCTTTAGACTCATCCTGGATATGAGAATAAGAAGCAGTTTTCAGTTTATACCTGCATTAGACAAAAGAAATTGTGTTGTCAACAATAAACCCCTTATGGGCAAGTGAAGAGTATAATATGAGTAAAAGTTAAATAACAGCTTAAACACTAATGGAAAACATTAAAAAATTAAACAACAAAAATAAAGTCTTTCTAAAGAATACAAAGAACCATGATAATATTGTGAAACAAATTCCTTCATGCATTCAAACCAAATTATAACCTAATAATTTAATTCATGTCTTACCTTGTAATAAGCACCTTTCTTAAATAATAAGATTACTTACCTTAGGGAAGCAGAAGATCCTCTTTTACACGAAGAGGGTTGATTTCATGCACTGGACAGAATATTTACTCTCCTAACAGAACAGGATTAGAGAAGTATCACAGGTATGTGTGTGGATGTTTTTTTTTTTTTTTTAGGACTGCCCACAAACAGAAACTTGAGGATGTAGTACACCAACAAATGCTATGTTGGTTAAAAGAAGCAACCGGCTCAATGATTAAAGCTCTGATAAGCTTATAATGTGTTATAAACTGAAAGGAATCACCAAAAGACAGTGTTAGCTTCAGCACCCAAGGGTTCAACATACTGTAGTGTTTGAGTACTAAAATAGAAAAGATGTAGGAGATGAATGAATTTAAAACTCTAATTTCTTTGACAGGATCAGTGGAAAAAGTAGCAAGCAGCAAAAAGAAATAAAATTTAAGAAAAACTGTAAATAAATGCAAACAACTAAAAAGAAAAGTACTCCGGACCACTAGGGGGAGATGATGATCGACCGAGTCTAAATCATGACCAAATCAGGCATATTGCTATGAAATTCTTATTGTGTGTTCACATGACTTCTGGTTATCAGAGCATCTGACTTACATGCAAAGTCTATCAAGAAGTTTTTAAAAATTCTGCGTCACATCCAGAGCGGCGCATCTTGATCACCGAGTGTCAGGATGTTGTTGCATATGAGCGCTCATCGCTAGAGTTAAAAAAATCAGAACTTTTGCAGAGGAATCTAGGAATTTTCTCACTAAATGCAAGTTGTGAAAACTACAGATCTGGCAGAATATTATGAACAATGAATAGATATGAAGGGGTTTAACTCCAGGAGGATGGATTTATTTTATGTGCAAGGAAAAGAGAGCAAGCTCTGTTCATTATTACTCCACTAAAATATTTTCTAACCTAACTGTGACAAATCAGTTTATAAACACCTACATTGAAATAAAATGTTGAACCCTGCCTGCGATTTTAATTTATATTCCGGTACTTTCAATTTTCATCCAAAATCTCAAATAACGCTTTATATACACTTCCCGCTCCCTGAACGGAAAATCCCCTCCAGTCTGGCAGGAGGCTCATTTGAGATGTTTTTTTTTATCCAAAAATGTCGTCTACCTGGCGCTGTGTGTTTCCTGGACGGGGCTGCCTTTTACAGCTGCTTCTTGTATCTCTGCTTCTGTCTCCTTGAACCCCAGACGGCCGCTCACACTGAGCCTGGTTCTACTGGATCTTCCTGTTAAAAGGAGTTTTTCCCTCTCCACTGTCACTACAAGCATGCTTACTGTAAGGGATTATCTTCGAGTCAATGCAATCAACTAGTTTTCCTTAGATAGAAAACTGAATCAATTTGACTGTATGATGTGATGAACTGTAAAGTGCCTTGAGATGACATGTGTTGTGAATTGGTGCTATAGAAATAAACTGAAGTGAATAGAATGGATTAGGACACTATATTAAAATAATTACACTCCTCCAAACTCAGGAGAGGTAGCCTACCTTTTTTTTTTTTTTTTTAAAGAAAATTAAAGCATTATACTTGAAGGTGTTGATTCTCATCCTGGACACTGAACTCAGCTACAAATCTCACCAGTGCATATTGAAAACACATTTCAAGTTATTTGATAAGGACAAACCTCATAAACCAGACCTTTTGTCATATCTTTAATATTAGTTTAATATTAGTAATAAGGAGCAGCCCAGGTATAGTGTATGGCACCCACTGAAAAAAGGCTCAGCTTTGTGACCCTAAGCTTCCACAAAATGAATGGGAACTGAATAAACCTTGAAATCCAATATCCTGTTGGTGTATTAATCCCTCAATGTGGTTCAAGGAAATCCAAAACCCCGCTTCCACACCTCATTCATCATATTTACAGGGCTTAGAGAAGCCACATTGCTCCTCATTGGTTTGTGGTTTTACAATCGCTCCCAGTAAACTTTCCAGAAATGTTCCCACCTTGATGTTGTTGGGGTTCAAAATGGTAGAATTCTCTTATGACAAAAAATCAAGACGCTGGAGACGATTGAGATGGGGGGAAACATTTTATTAACAGGTCGAATTCCAAAATATGCCGTACAAAAACTTACAGCGCTTACAATAGTTCTAAATAATTTTCCCCAAAGCTGCCAGGCCCCTATCAGTGTATTTATAGCCTTTTGTTACATGTTGTGTGTTTGTTTTGCGACTGGCCTTCTAAATGCGTGTAAATCTCTGTCACCTGCTCTGAACCTGTTACCTAAAAGGAAAAAGATGTTATTGCCAAGCTTTTCTGATGCATAAACTGCTTGATTATTATTTTCTGTGTGTAAGGGTTTCCTGTTCAAACATTCTATCCCCTGTATTTTCTGTATGTAAAAGCCTTTCTCTGAACCAACATGTTTACATGGTAGGAAATGGCCTCAAATAATATAGCTCCTATAATGTGTTTGCTACTTTTTATTGATTTCTTGCATTTGGGCAAAAGACTTATCTATGCAGAAACAATGGCTACATTCACACTGAAGCCTGAAGTGACCAAAATCCTTTTTTTAGCCATGTGAGACCTTTACAGTACCTGATCTTGTCATGACAATCTGAACAACGCAGATCTGATTTTTTCCATTTTGTCCTAGGCCCCTTGGCTGGTCCTGAGATGGATACATGTATGATCTTTTCAAATGCGACCTGTGTCTGAATTAATCCAACTTGAATGTCATCAATACTCATCAATGTATGTATGTTGCTACGCAGAAGCAGAAAGAAAAACAACCCAGTCAGACGATGTGGGGAGCATCATACCTTTTGCAATGTTGATGCTGAGGTTGAGAAAGAAATGAAAAAACTGCAAGATCAGTACTACCATCCGTTGTGACATCATTGCGTCCTTTACTGCCCATGTGGGACCAAGGAAATCCCTTAAAGCCGCAGATATTTGGAAATGTGAACAACTACCCTAAACATTAAGCTTTAACACCTGCAGCGGAAAGGTAGCCATAATGTCCCCAAAAAGCCTGACAAATCAGAATTATTAAACATTAACAATCCAATTCAAAATAACATTAAAAGTATAAAAAATGCACCAAAAAGAAAAGACGAAATATAATTTAAAATAGATTTTCCTAAATTTATTTCCTTTGTTGTTCCTCTATCACGAGCGATTTCCATCTCTGAGCTGCATTTAATCTAGATGGTTGTATTATATTGTTCCACATGAAGACATTTGTTGGAACAGTTGTGTTTGTTGTTTTTTTCTGTTGTTTCGCTGCACCTTTCTTTCAAGTTTTATCACCTTGACAAAGCCTGTTTTTTCATTGCCAATTCAAACTTTCTGTATTTTCTTCTTGTATTTGTCTTAGATTGCACACTTTCTTTTGTACAGAAGAAAACCCTGCATATATTGTTTACCGACACATCTGCCAACATGAATTTTATTAATGTATGTGTGTATTTCTCATTTAGATGATGATTTACTCTGTTAAGTAGAAGTGCTTCATTGTGCTTTCATTTATCTAGATCACAGGTTTCAAACTAGTTCCAAAAATGGCCGTGTGGCTGCAGGTTTTCTTTCCAACCAAACAATAGCAACACAAACTCCATTCATCATATTTAAATTGGACTCCCTTGATGAGATGACTGGCATCAAACTAGCAGAATAAATCTGATTTCCGCCCCAAGCTATTGCTTGGTTGGAAAGAAAACCTGCAGCCACACGGACCTTTCTGGATCCAGTTTGACACCCCTGATCTAGATCATTGAAACCTCTTTTGATTTTCTGAATTGTTTTTTTTTAAGAACTATATGAACTCATTTGCAAAAACATTTTCTGTAATTTCAATGTGATAATAACTGAGAGAAATGTTCTTTAATGTTTTAAAATATTCACTCTACTCTTCAACCTAAGGAATCACCGAATGTGATATTTTTTGGATTTCCAAAAGCCATACAAAAACTAATAGAGGAGAATAAAGTATAGAATGATCAAAAAATTTCAAGTCTATCTACAATTTTCTTCATGTCATCCTATTGCAGATAATAAATTATATTTAAAATGTTTAATTTATTTAAGTTATTTATTTATAGAACTCTTTGTCTCAATCATTCAGTAAAACACATCAGCCCAACAAAAACAAATTGACTTTAATAACAACTGTGAGGAGCTGTTTGTTTGCAGATACAAAATGAAAGAAAAACAAAGTAGTTTTGAATAACTGAAATACATTAAATAAAAGGTAAAATACAGTAAATATAGCTTTATTATAAGAATAAATATTTGACCTGTAACAGCGTTTTAAAGAATTAAGTAGAAAAAAATTCTGCTACACAAAAAAGACCATTAAGCAGAATCCCTCACTGTGTAAACACCTATTCAGTTGAATAAATAATCATCTTTCCATAAATGAGGATAATGCAGCGTCTCTCATGTACTGTCTATGTCTACACATTTTCTATGTATATGAAAAGGGTTTGGAAAACCATCTACGTCTGCATGATGGTTCACACTAAAAGATAATAGTAACATCTCTTCATTCACCAGGAACATCTAAATACTGGAATTCTTTCTAAACAAACATTTTTATTGAAGCAGGGTTTAGAAAATAAGAAAAAAATTGGAAAATGATCTGTTCAAGAACTTGGTTACCTCTGTGTTTTTTCTTTTTTTATGCTATAAAGTGACAAGCATGTAACATTAAACTAGTAGGATGGGCTCACTATCTTTGTGGTGTTAGACAGGTACTCATGAGGAAGTATTCTCAAGGTAACAAATTACAAGTATTAGGTTTTAAACTGCTCTACAGAGCAACCGTTGAGGGAATGAATATCAAGAATTTTCATTGTTACAAAAGGGTAGAGAAAGCTGCTTCAGACGTTTCATAGACAACTTGGTTCCACTTTAAAGAATTGAATTAAGTAGATAAATGCGACAGGTCACAGGACGAACAAAATGTAGCTGTAGATTGAGTATCTGACTATTACTCTGCTATGCTGCTTGTTAGACGCAAAAGCTCACGATTTCTTTAAGAAGACAGTACTTTTAACGGAATAAATGACTCAATATTTTATCATTTAAAACAACTTTGATTGTTTGATTAAGAGGATTATCAAGATCAAAATCTTGACAATCGCATTTCCAATAGCAGCTAGGGCGGAGTATGTTCTAGAATTTCAAAGTTCCCAAACCTGTCTGCCCTGAAAAATTTAATTGAAGAATTTAATCAAGCCCATCAGCCATCAACCTCCAGGGCAACGGTGAGCTTTTATGTCACAGAAGGTTCAAACACACCTAGAAACTCATTAAAAAGCTGGATACTGTTTGGTAAAAATTAAGTCAGTTAAGTATCATTGCAACCTCCTTGTCCAGGTGCCCAAAGTTAACCGCCAGTCAAAGATTGTTATAATGCATTTGGCATTTTCTGTCAACCAGCTTTAATCCACCGCCTAGTTTTTGTTCCCATAGTGCGCGACATATATCATGAAGAAATGTGCTACTCTGATTATAATAGTAATAAACAGTAAAGTTCAGCTTATCCTAGCAATTGCCCAGAGGAAAATTTCACTACTCAAAGTTTTTTCTGCTATGGCTCATGAGATATAGTTTAGTTTTTCATTTCGACCTAATTTTAGTATCTATTTTGTCTCAAGATATTCTCATTTTATTCTCCTAATATTCATTAGAAGAAATAGGGTGAGACGTTAACATTACAGTACAGGAGTCATAGTTGAGATTTAAAGGAGACACCTTACAAAGCTTGAATTTACACACTCACACACCAAAACGCACGCTTGCCACTCACACACTATCATGGCCACCTTCAGTTCTCTTCACACACAGTTTAAGCCACTTTCCCAGATAAAGTTTAAGTCTCTTGCACACATTGTAATCTGGAGCCGCTATTTTAACCCACAAACCTGAATCTGATGCAGGAGTTTTCCCCATCACTGGTTGCGGGGAAAACTCCCGCATAAGATACCACTATGTCACAAATGCAAGCGATTATATAAGAGAAAGCTGGATTTGTTAATCGAGAGGAGCTTCCACCCTTTTGATCAAAATCCTGCATATGTTGACATATCTCTTTCTAGCCAGGAGTAACAAGTTTTCTTTACGACCGGCAAAATATTCAAATCTTCTTTTGAGTTATAATCCTTTGTTATGGTCACACTTAAATGTATAATTTCTTTTTTCCCTGGGATGTCGTATAAGGTGCCTAATTGATAACCGTGTATTGACATCTCATTTTTATATATTTAAGTATAATCCAGATGCTCTAGAAAACATGTTATCTTATCTATAACTTTGGATATCTATTTAAAATGTATAATATATAAGATCTATTTTTCATTGCTATCATCAGCAAGCTCAGTTATTGCATTTAATGGTTCAATACCTTAGCTATTATTAAGAAATAGAGCCAATAACTCTACAGCTAATAGAAATAATAAAGGGGCAACCCTGTTGGATTCCCCTTTGCACTTCAACTCTTGATTGTTCCTTCAGACAGAGGGAGACTGAACTATTAATATCCTTATACATTAGTGGTTTTATAAACCTTTTTCCAACATTATAACTTCTAAGAATTCACACAGGCATTGAAAGTAAACATATTAGGATGAAAAATGTGTAGAAAAAAAGAATTCTAATTAACGAAGGAAATTCTATTTAAATACTAGTGTTTAGTTTTATTTTACTTTAGTAAAAAAATAAATAATAACCTATTTTAATAGCTTCAGGAGATGCAGATTATAACCGCTTAAATTAGTAAAACGAGATTACTACTTAATGACATTCACAGGCAATTATTATGTAAACCAACAAGGAGGAACCTGCGTTGATCACCATTGTAGTATCCTCAGAACTTATGAGTGTTTTATTAGACGATAATCAAAGTATACTTCATATTAACCTGTCTGTGGAAATCTGCACCTGCTCATTACTTTACAGATAATAACTCATAACAAAAGATTTCAACACATCTTACCACACGAGAAACTCTGAATCCCAATAGGTGGTATGGTTTAAATCACTAGAGTTAAGTTAAAAGTTGGTTTTAAAGTCAGCTTACATGTATAATATTTTTAATGCACAATAAAGTATCTTAGTTAGCAACTAAAAAAAAAATATATAGAGCTCTATATATAGCTCTCTCTCTCTCTCTCTCTCTATATATATATATATATATATATATATATATATATATATATATTATTTTTTTTCTTTGTTCTTTTTCTGTTTATTTATTAATCTTAGGAAAACTTGGAGGATATGAATATGAAATAGAAAATAAAATGGTCTTGATCCAAATATAATAAAACTTAGCTCAAGTAGCTTTGAGCAAAACAAAAACAAAGGTTTGTAGTAAGTATATGTTCATTTTCTAACCAGATGATCTGATGCTGGTGTCACTCTAATTTGATAATTATGTTACCAATGTTGCAGAAGTTTCTAAGCCCATTTATCTGCATTTATCTTTTTTAGCTTGTTTTAAGCCTTGCAAGGTTTATTTATTATTTCTTTTTTTTAATCTTTCTGGATTATTCGTTTGAAGAAAAATAACTGGTTTAGCTTTTTGGATGGATTTCTGGTTAAGGAAAATATTCCAAGACATTTCAAAGTCTGATAAAGATCATGATCCTTTATAAAGCTTGACTGTTTTTTCATTTGCCAGCTGTTTTAGGACTCTATACTCATTTATTCCAGAATGAGGTCCTGTTCCATATTTTTTGTTCTTTAAAACCTCAAAGTAATGGCTCCAGTTCCTGTTACTGTCGGCTCCGAATCCGAACACATCGACCTGGGAACACACAAAAGAAAAAAACATTTGTTAAATTGAAAGAAAAATATTCTCCAACCTGTGTGTTAATTATAAGGCTGATCATCTACTTTTTTCCAAGAATTTGATTCATGACTAGAGAAAACCGCAAAGGGAAACAAAAAATACATATTTAATTGAAGGTACAAATCAGATGTCAGTCAATAACAACTCCTTCTGTCAAAAAAAAGTTACAATCAGTAAAATAAATCCAAAATACATCATAATTTTGACCTGTTTTTAACAGGTAATCACAGTCTTGTTAAGGCAGTAGCCGCATGTCTATTACTAGTTTGCACAAAACTCTTGACATCGCAGCTGATGAACTCCCCATAACTGATTTCTTTCTCTGCTCATTTACAGTGAAACTTCCTCTCAACACCTTAAAACACCACGCCTCATTTTATTTCGGGATTAAAGGAACAATAAATTTGTTGGCAACCACAACCAACCCAACCCTGGTGATCTGGTTTCTCATTAAAGCAATATCCTTAATACTCTTGCACCGTTTGAAATAAGATCTCTTTCTTTTCTTTCTCCACCCAAAGTCTCATTAGTCACATTAGTCACAAAGAAATGTACAACCACATGTTATAAGGAATCCATTCCGAGGACCAAAACACACTACGTCACCAGTATAAACACTGCCAATAAGGGAAACTCGAAGAACACTTTGTCCCTATTTAACACCACACCCAATCACAGCACTTTCTCCCTCCTCATCTGTACACAACCTCTTTCTGCAACTCCATCATGTCCTTCATTTAAAAAAATCTAAAACATCGGCATCTCAACCATTTCTCACTAATCCACACACCCATTTTCCTTGCTCCAATTCAGGGAACTCACCCAAAAATCCAAGTCATCCACCTGTCAACTTGACTCCCCATACACACAATTTATTAAAGACTGCCTCCTTTCTCTGATCCCCCTAATTTCTGCCATTATTCACTCATCTCACACCACTGGAACTGTCCCTACATCCTTCAAAATTGCTGCCATTACCCCTATTTTGAAAAAGGTACCGAAAAAACCTGGTACACTCTAACTTCAACAACTGCCCTCTGATCTCTAATCTGCCCTTCATCTCCAAAATCTTCTAATAAACAGGAAACTCCCAACTCCTCGCCCATAGTCGCCTATCCCACAATTACCTGTTCCAGTCTGATTTCCGCCCCTTCCACAGCACTGAAACTGCACTAAGAAAATAAATTACCAACGATTTTCTCATGACAGCTGATTCTGGAATTCTCACCATCCTCATCCATTTTGACATGAATGCCGCCTCTGATACCATCTGTCACTCCACCGCCTCAACAGGCTATCTTCCATTGGCATCCGCACACTTTATTAGACTGGTTTACATCCTACCTCTCGGACCGCACTCAGTTAAAATCCTTCAAATCTATCCCCTCCTCCATCACATCCTCTTCGTCATCGATCTCTTTCACCTTAGCAGTATCTTTCGCAAATGTAACATTCATTTCAAATTTCAGTGCTTTCTTTTAGTGGATTTATCTACTTAATTACAATTTGCTCAATTTGATGGTTAATGGATGGCTCAAAGACGTACGGCTGTAAGCCTTCTACACCAAACCCTACACCAAATTTCCCCGATCCGATCCAAACCTTGGTTGATCGGAAATTCAAAATCTCCGTTTACATGTACACTAAATGAAATGATCCGATCATGACGTGTGTATACATGTACCAAGCGTTGGATCAGATTAAATCTTTTAAGCATGCGCAGAACTTCCTGCCAAACTTGCCAGTTCTGTCTGCGTCTGGTTTTTGGGAGGCCTGACAAACGATGCGCTCGGAGCGAGCGGAAAGAAAAAAGGAGAGAGGAGGAAAAAAGCGCTTGGCAGCGAAATGTACGAGAGAAAATGTAGAGAATGAGCGATTGAACCGCGTGGGAGAGCGAGTGGGCTGTGGAGAGAGAAAAGAGGAAGAGGAGGAGGATTAATTCCTGCTTCCTGCAGCTTTAAATTAACTTGAGTGTATAAGTCGGCGTTCCTAGACTCCCCCCGCCATGTTGTTCACAGCGAGAGCGAGAGCGACCGGTGGTTTCCTGTTGTTGACAAGGCGGAAAAACGTCACGCTGACGTCGCACACATGCGCAGTGAAGATTATTTTACTCTTAAGATCCGAATGGGTGTTTACATGGACGCCAATCGGAATGGCGATCGGCAAAAACCACCTCTCTCTTTCGGAATTAAATTTAGATCCGATCGGACCGAATCGGATTAGAATCTTCAGTCTGACATGTTTACATGAAACATTTTTGATCTGATCAGGCCTTCAATCCGATTAGTTGTGTCCATGTAAACGTAGCTACAGTGAGCTTGTCGGAGGTATGATGCAGATATTTTTGATTTATGCCCAACATCTAGCGTGGTCTGCACTACGTTATTCCACGCAACAAAGCAAGAGAGATACGACAGAGTCGGTGAGGAAGTGGGGCCAGTTTATGCGACAACGGAGGGACATGAGGGCGAAAAACAGGGATGAAGGTGGAAAAACGGTCCCAGCGTTCTCGCCCACCTTGCTCTTCTAGCTGGTCTATTTTCACACGTTTTTTTCCGCAATGGCGGTCAAACAAACAACACAAGCCAGTAAAGTACCAAACAGGAATTACACATAGTGTAGAGCGGATGTAGATTTGGCCAATCAAAGGCCTGCGGTGTGCGGTCACCTACACTTTCGGAGCAGTGTGCAGCAGAGTGTCAGCGGACGGGCTGGGGGCATATCTGCGTAACTGCGACACACACACACACAACCTGATTTCTGGGTATAAACCAGCCTTAACACATGCCTTACCCTAATCTCTAAACCTAAAAACATTAATATACATGTTACCATACAGTACCAACGGCCACTTTATGGCTAGAATTTTATTTGCAGTTCAGTTTTGGGACAAGTTGGGAGTGAGAATGTGTTGGTCTTGCATAGGGCAAGTTCCACCCAATTTCATCACTAAAAAGGATTTTACACCTCTTTTGGTGAAACCGGTGAAAAGACTTTCACTTTACTGTGCTTTTTTTGCCTGATGTTTCACCCACAAGTCATGTGGCAGGCAACAGCAGTTCACAAAGTGCAGAAAAAGCTCAGTTAAATCTGCTGTTTGTCAAGAAAGGGTGTTGACGTATGAAAACCAAGAAAGGAAGTGACATGTGGCATTTTTGATTTAGGTACTTATATTTTCCACAAAGGCATTTCCAAATTTTTTTCTTTTTTTATGTATTTCGATGAAGATAATGTTGTCATTATCTGAAGTAATGAATATTTTTTTAAACTGATTAACTTAACACTAACCTTCAACAAAGCAAACAGTAAGAGAAAGAGGTGTGTGGCCTTCCAGTGAAAATAGATAATACACTATCCTCCATCTAGAACTATTTATTTTGGTGGGCAGTTCCAACATTGCACATAGATTTCTATCCACAGAGCTTTGAGCAGTGTTTACCAAACCTGCTGTAAACCCCATTGTTATCTAAAGTTACCCTATTGTTAAAAATAATACCAGTGAATAAATGGGCTACAGCTGAAATAAGGATCAATAAACAGTTTTATGAATTAATCCAGCAACTAAATAAAAACTGAATTTATGCAAAGCAGATAGGTATTAGTTAAAAAGAACAAGGTTCAAAAGAACAAACCGAAATACCCAAGTATAACTTTCTTTTTAAAGAAAAAAATTTCAGTGGTTGGTTGTTCCCGCTGACAACCAACGCAGCAGCTACTTCAGTTGAACAGGATGTGGTACCACATCCTTTGCTATCTTTAGCAGCCAATGCCCTGTTTGCTCTGAAACACATTCCCTGTTATGGACAGACACGTTCTTATATCACACTGCTCCCTCCAGCAGATTTTTGTGGGGCTGAGACCCTTTAGGTCAGAATGCGGTTTTAATTTACAGGCAAACGGGGCATTTTTATGTAGGAGTATTGGTTAAAAATTCCCCCTGTGTCCCCTACAGGCTTATAGAAAACTTTAATTGAAGCTTCTGTTTTTTTTCACTATGACATTTTAAGAGTGAAAGTTAGTGATCTTACTATACAGGTAAGTGTTGCCCATTCAGAATATCCTAAACTAATTTTCTACAGCATTGTCTGCTACAACAAAATGAGGCCATTGGCTCTCCTGCAGGAAAGTCACTACGACACAGTAGACTTCACAGTTGAAGTCCAGGACTTAACTCATCGAAAGGCGTTGGTGAGACATTGAATGGAGCTAATTAACCCTATTATTTCCAAACCCTAATGTTCAAGTCAAAGTCAAAAAGCCTTTATTGTCATTATATTCTGTGACAAATACAATGAGATTTGGGACTTCCATAACAGCTACCGTGAAATAAAAATAAAATAAAAATATATAAAAAATATATAGATATATTAAAAGGAAAGGAAATGTAAACAGTTACAAAAAATATATATAAATATATTAAAAGGAAATGTAAACAGTGAAAAGGAAATGTAAAACAGTACTGGCACAGATTGTGGGGGGGGGGATAGTGCAAAACAGGTGTAAAGTGACCGACAGTGCAGGTCGGAGTTGAGGGGGGGAATACCAATGCAGTAAAAAATAATGGGCGAACAACCAAATGAGAAAGCAAAAAGAAAATTACAGCTTAAAGTTGTAGGAAAATCACATTTAAATGTCAGATCTGGCTTAAACATGAATATAAATGTACTCTTTATCAGACAAAATCATGTAGCAGTAAATTTCTGAAAAAAAATCCTGCCTTAAAATCTGTGGGGTTTTTTCTCGTTATCTTATGCAGGCCAGTTAGTTATACGTCAGCTTGTACACCTAAATTCGGCCAATCATATATCAACAGTCATCTGTCAATCAAAATTTTTCAGTCATAGCATCTTGATTCATATGTCGCAGCTAATATACGCAACGGTTGAAATAAGAAATAAAAATAATTTCCTTTCCCATTGAGTTCCGTCCCAGTGTTGACGGGGATGGACGTCTGTGTCTTCAGCAGGCGTAGAGCTAACAGAACTGGCAGCGTTGCGAGGCAAGGGCTCAAAGACGTACGGCTGTAAGCCTTCTACACCAAACCAAGCTTCTGCCGCCCTGGCATCCTCTTCCACAACATCTTCGTCTCCGCTTTCTTCCTCTAAATAATAAATGTATGACGAAGGAGACCCATCCACGATCTCCAACACAATACTCTCCTCCTCTTGCATGTTTCCTCTGTCCATAGCGTTCCTTGACAGTGTGGTTGCTAAGTCACCAATTTAGTGCTACTTGGTCCCAATGGAACACTAAGTTTCTAACTGTTAAGCAAGATGCTTCCGCGAAAACAGCCACAATCAAACTTGCTTGCGAACCTTCTGCCTTAACAATACCGCCCTCTTGATAAACGAACAATCACGTTCACTTCATTCACAGGTGTAAAGTCGTGCACCACTCAGGAGAATTCCGAAATGCAACGGTTGGAACAGCCGTTTCCCTACGACTTAAAGGTGATTCTGAAAGCTATAAAAGTTCATCAATTTGTTGATAAAAACTCAATATAATAATAATAATTTATGGCAATTCTATATTCGAACATTTTTTTCTTAAATGTAACTTGACCTTAGGCAAAAGGCTTAATAGACATTACCAGGATTAACAAATTTTTTTAAAGACCCTGATAAAGATGTTCTACTACGATCATAAGAAACTTGATCATTATCTGGAGGATAAGTTGGGCTCACCTCATCGCATACGTGAAGAGCAAGAACCAGAGTCATAAAACCGGTGGATGGATACGTTCCCCTCCTTTTCATCCAAACCTCATGGACGTACTTCATAAAAGCTGGATTGACCACCATCACCTGTTAAAAAGGACTCAGATTTATTGAATGATCGCATTTGTATTCAAAATTGTTAATTACATTCAACCTCATACTTACCAAATCTTTATTAGCTTTTATTTTTGGTGTTACTTTCCTAGATGTCCTGTTCAGAAGAGTTTAACAAAATGTGACATTAGATACACAGGGTCCAGGGATCTAATTTGTTCATTTGTAGACCATTTAATGCAGCCTTAGGACATTTGAGTGCAGGAAGTACATGTAAGACCCGGTTTGTAACAATTGGAATGTGTCAAGGCTTTAACTTTTCCAATTTGTTCACATTTTCTCTTTTAGCAGTTAAGATGGCACTTGACTAAAGTGTGAACCCAATTGAAGTCTGGCTAGAATTTAAGCTTTAGATATAAAGCATACAAGGTGGTTATGACATTCTTTAAGCTGGGCATACACTATAAAATATTTTTAATCTTTGTACTTGGCTACACCTCAAAGTGTAGGACGAAACCGCAGAGTTAAAATGTTCACAGTTCATGATATCTGTTTTCACACTGTACTGCCCTGATGCTGTAATGTGATCAAATTGCTCACACTTTACAACCGAAAATATGCTGGTCAGACTCGTCTATCGGGAAATAAAGACAGAGAAGAAGAAGAGATCCCTTCTTTGCAAATGTGGATTACACAATGTTTAAGTAAATCAGAGAGCCAAAGTAATGTCAAACATATCATTTTCATCCAGCTGAACCATTCCTGGCCAGGATGTGAGGATCTAATCACTCCTCTTTAGCCTCTGTGTACTACACAATGCAGGATACACTTTGGGGCTCAAATTCTCACACGAATGAAAGCTCAGGTAAAAAACAAAGAAAAAAAAATTTAATGTTAAGCCTCCGTTTGAAGTGGAAGGCCTTGAAATTGGTAGAGGAATGAAGATGAGGAGAACCAAAGGGAGTTGGCAGCTGTTGCTAAGAGATGCTAAGATGGAGAGCTTTGTTACTAAGAGCTCCAGTTTCTAACCAAGGCTGTTTAGGTTAGCATCAAAAGATTTTTTCAAATATTTGTTGTTACAGTAGGAGCCATTCAAAATGACCCTTTCCAGGAAAATGGCAGACGAATGGCAGCCCACTTCCCTGCAAATCCCCTCCAACTTCCTGCCACTGAAGTGGTGTCATCTTGCATATTTTTTTTACTCTGACTCCTCCCTTTTACTGAATTACAGAGTCTGAGCAGGAGATGAAGCTTCTCTTTAGATTTTAATGTCCACATATCATGACAGAAAGAATATTTTAGCACAAATATTGATGTTGAAAAAGGAATTGAAGGTGGACCAGCCAAGGACTGGCCAAGGGCCCATCAAGGATAGTGAGGACATTTTGAAGGGCTACTACTGTATATGTGTTACAACAACTGAAAGATGTTTTTATGTCACTTTAAACAAATATTAATCCAAAAAAATCGTAAGATCAATATCTTACGATTTGTTTGGATGCCATGTTAGCCTTTGCTTATGGTGTTAGCTCCAGCTATTTAAGTAAACAGTAGATGACCTAACCACATCAGCGACCCAGCATGCATTGCACAGGTGAAAAAATAACTTCCATAATATTTATTCGAATTGAATGTTTTGATTTAATCATACAATCTGTTAAAAATGCATTTAGCCTTAGTTTTAATACTTCTATCCCATCAGTAAAATAAAAATAGCCAATTTCAGATTTAATCACAACAATAAGTGGAAATCAGAGATGAAAAGAACGTATGCAACAACTAGAGATAAAAACATTTTCTTTAACAACTTTCTTTCTGTTAAAAGTTGAAGTTAAAAAATCACTGCCCGTTTTAAAGGGTTAAATTAATTACAGTAGATGTTTATGAGCATTCAACGCATATGCCGGCTACCATTGGTAAAAATTGCAACAAACGATACATGATTTTAGAAGAAATTGTGAGTTTTTATGTATCACAAAAGGTATTTTTAAGTTAATAGGAAGATATAAATTAAGACATACAGTACAGACTAAGTGTTTGGACACATCTTCTCATTTAAAGAGCTTTCTCTATTTTCATGACGATGAAAATTGTAGATTCACACTAAAGACTGCCAAACTATGAGCTAACACAGCTGTTAGAATTTGTATCATGGCAAGAAAAAAGCAGCCAAGTAATGAAGGTCAGTCAGTCGGAAAAATTGGCAAAACTTTGAAAGTGTCCCCAAGTGCAGTTGCAAAATCCATCAAATGCTGCAAAGAAACTGGTTCACATGAGGACCGCCCCAGAAAACGAAGACCAAGAGTCACCTCTGCTTTGGAGAATAAGTTAATCCGAGTCACCAGCCTCAACAAATTGCAGGTCATTAGCAGCTCAGGTTAGAGACCAGGTCAATGCCACACAGAGTTCTAGCGGTAGACACATCTCTAGAACAAGTGTTAAGAGGAGACTCTGTTAATCAGGCCATCATGGTAAAATAGCTGCTAGGAAACCACTGTTAAGGGCAGGCAACAAGCAGAAGAGGATGGACTCTAAATGCCTTGTAACCACTGTGAAGCATGGAGGAGGTGCGATGGGTTCTTTGTTGGTGACAGTGTTGGGTATTTATTCAAATTGGAAGGCATACTGAACCAGCATGGCTATGACAGCAACTTGCGGCAGCATGCTATTCCATCCGGTTTGCGTTTAGTTGAACCTTTTAGTTTTCAACAGGACAATGACCCCAAACACACCTCCAGGCTGTGTAAGGGCTATTTGACCAAGAAGGAGAGTGATAGGGTGCTGCGCCAGATGACCTGGCCTCCAAAATCACCTGACCTGAACCCAATAGAGATGGTTTGGGGTGAGCTGGACTGCAAAGTAAAGGCAAAAGGGCCAACAAGTGGTTAGCATCTCTGGGAACTCCTTCAAGACTGTTGGAAGACCATTTAAGGTGACTACCCCTTAGTAATCAAAGCAAAAGGTGGCTACTTTGAAGAACCTGGAATATAAGACATATTTTCAGTTGTTTCACACTTTCTTGTTGAGTAAATAATTCTGCATGTGTTAATTCATAGTTTTGATGCTTTCATTGTGAATCTACAATTTTCATAGTTATGAAAATAAAGAAAACTCTTTGAATAAGAAGGTGTGTTCAAATGTTTGGTCTGTATTGTATCTAGGGCAACATGTTCAACTTGTTTGGAAACCCGTTAAAATGCAGTTTTTTGAAACCCTTCTGTCTAATAAAGGGAAAAAAACATATTTTCACAATTAGTGCTTCACGTTTCCGCTTCCTGTTAATCACATAGTTTTTAAAAGTAAAAACAAAAAAAACAGGAAATGCATGTATTACCTCATATGTTGCAATTGGATGTACTGTTAAAAATATATCTTTAAATGTGGTTGTTTTTTTCTATCGTTCTGTTTTTTTGTGATGTACAGTAACTGACATGGAAACCAGAACACACAAAAAAATTGTAGCCAAAAAAAAAAAAAAAAAAAAAAACTTACTTTACATAAAATCCTCTGGTCAAGGCCTTAGTGGACCACTCCAGATCCTGTATTTTAAAAGCAAACACTACAAGATGAGTTGAATTATCCAAATCTACAGCGCTCTCTGGATACATGACATGATGAGTGGTTCTGGTCCCAACGTCTTTCTCGTAGCCTTTGGTTGGACCAGCGTTCATTCTGAATAGCAAAGTATGATAATTAGTTTGCTGCTTAATGGATTTGAAGTGGATTTTAAAAATGCAGAACTGGGCCTGTACCTTATAATGATATCATGATGATCAATCAAAGGTCCGTAACCTGAACCTTTCAAATTTACAGAATTCCCCACGACAGCACAAGTCCTGCATTTGCCTGGGCTAGGCTTTCCAAGATCAGGAATGGACGGAAACATTGTAAACAGCTTGGCCACTGTTGCTTTGTAGTAACTGAAGTCGCGTCTTTCATACTGTATGCGCTGTATGCACACACCAAAAACATTATTCTGTTAGGGTTTAAAATAAAAACTTGAAAAAAGGGGAGAAAATGTTTTGTGGTATTAGCTTACCTTCCACCACTGGAAAACATTCTCAGAAAGCTTGGTGTTCACAGACAAAAATGGTTCAATTGAAGGATTGAAACAACTCATGAGCAACTTATCATCTTTGGAAAAACATTTCTTACAACCACATTGGTTGCCCTGTGTGCTCTTAATTAGGACATTTTCGTCCCGTATATTTTTGTCTCGTAAGCTTCCATCCTTTTTTATTTTGGCCTGTATGTTGTCCTGTTCACTTTTGTCCTTAACATTGTTGTCCTTTAAGCTTCCACCCTGTGTTTTTTTGTCCTGTGTATTGTTGTCCTGTACGTTTTTGTCCTTTAAGCTTCCATCCTGTACACTTCTGTCCTTAACATTTTTGTCCTTTAAGCTTTCATCCTGTGTATTTTTGTCCTGTATGTTGTCCTGTACAATTTTATCTTGTAAGTTTTCGTCCTGGACATATCTATTTAGTGGGTTTTCGTCCTTTATACTGTTGGAGAAATGTTGCTCTTTTGGTATTGTAACCTTGTATTGAAACCTTATGTCCTCAAACGAAACCCCTTCTCTGAAATTTAACGTAAAGAAAACACCTGCAGTAGTTATAGCTAAGAGAATTATACATACTTTCCCTTTTAATATCATTTGGACCGCTGATTTTTCAGTATGAATGAGTTTCTGTCTGCAGAAAGTTTGGGGAGAAAAAAAAAGAAGAGCAAAAAATAATGTTACTTTGTTAACATTTGTGAAAATTGTAAACAAAAAAAAGGAAATGAATTATTTCAGAATTTATTAACTAACTTACACCTAAATTAGACAATAAGGTTGCTTGCGCATGGACAGGATGAATTTAATTACTTTTATTCATGTTATTTGATTAAACTCTTCTGTAATACATAAGAACAATACAATAACAATCTGTTAATATTGTCATCCTGAGGTACACATAGCTTCAATAAGTTAAGATAAATTCATGTTTATTAGAATTAAATCATACCTGATTAGAAGGTATATTTCTCTGCTCCAGCTATCCTTTGCTCACAATAGTCATCAGTACAGTAAGTGTATTTGATATTCAGGAAGTAAAAGTAGATAGGAAAGGTACTGGTGAAGAGTCATATGTGAAGAGGTGTGGTTTCTTTATGTAAAAAAAAAGTGAGACTAAGCAAGAGAATAGGCTTTGGTTCAGCAATTGAAACTGGTAAATCATTCTCTACAGGAGCCTCAAAAACCGGAACTGCAGCAATTTATTTCTAGGGTTGTAGATGAATGAATTATTATTTTGTGAGGGTACAGTGTAACAATCTTTTTTTAGTGAAGAGTGGAAGATAGAGGGAGATACACTATATTGCCAAAAGTATTTGCTCACCTGCCTTGACTCACATATGAGCTTAAGTGACATCCCGTTCCTAATCCATAGGGTTCAATATGACGTCGGTCCACCCTTTGCAGCTAGAACAGCTTCAACTCTTCTGGGAAGGCTGTCCACAAGGTTTAGGAGTGTGTTTATGGGAATTTTTGACCATTCTTCCAGAAGCGCATTTGTGAGGTCGCACACTGATGTTGGACGAGAAGGCCTGGCTCTCAGTCTCCGCTCTAATTCATCCCAAAGGTGTTCTATCGGGTTGAGGTCAGGACTCTGTGCAGGCCAGTCAAGTTCATCCACACCAGACTCTGTCATCCATGTCTTTATGGACCTTGCTTTGTGCACTGGTGCACAGTCATGTTGGAAGAGGAAGGGGCCAGCTCCAAACTGTTCCCACAAAGTTGGGAGCATGGAATTGTCCAAAATGTCTTGGTATGCTGAAGCATTCAGAGTTCCTTTCACTGGAACTAAGGGGCCAAGCCCAGCTCCTGAAAAACAACCCCACACCATAATCCCCCCTCCACCAAACTTTACACTTGGCACAATGCAGTCAGACAAGTACCGTTCTCCTGGCAACCGCCAAACCCAGACCCGTCCATCAGATTGCCAGATGGAGAAGCGCGATTCGTCACTCCAGAGAACGCGTCTCCACTGCTCTAGAGTCCAGTGGCGGCGTGCTTTACACCACCGCATCCGACGCTTTGCATTGCACTTGGTGATGTATGGCTTGGATGCAGCTGCTCGACCATGGAAACCCATTCCATGAAGCTCTCTGCGCACTGTTCTTGAGCTAATCTGAAGGCCACATGAAGTTTGGAGGTCTGTAGTGATTGACTCTGCAGAAAGTTGGCGACCTCTTCGCACTATGCGCGTCAGCATCCGCTGACCCCGCTCCGTCAGTTTACGTGGCCTACCACTTCGTGGCTGAGTTGCTGTCGTTCCCAAACACTTCCATTTTCTTATAATACAGCTGACAGTTGACTGTGGAATATTTAGGAGCGAGGAAATTTCACGACTGGATTTGTTGCACAGGTGGCATCCTATCACAGTTCCACGCTGGAATTCACTGAGCTCCTGAGAGCGACCCATTCTTTCACAAATGTTTGTAAAAACAGTCTGCATGCCTAGGTGCTTGAATTTATACACCTGTGGCCATGGAAGTGATTGGAACACCTGATTCCAATAATTTGGATGGGTGAGCAAATACTTTTGGCAATATAGTGTAAGTTGAAGAAAAAAGAGTGATATGTTATAGCCCATTGCACAAAACAAAGTGAAGCTGAGAAGCTGTCATTTCCTGAGGGGGTGATACAATAGTGGTAAAGCTGTCTTTCTCTGTGTCTATGAAGATGCAGGAGGAATTTGTTCCTGTGCCCGTTAACTATTTCCTTCTTCAGTCACTATTTCCGGCTTACCTCAATTTTGCTTTGTAATTGCATAGCAGCCCACAAGAGGATGCTCATCATCAAACCTAAACATAATGTACATAAGTCAAAAGAAACAGTCTTCTCAAGCGGGTAAACCTTTTTAAAGTTTTTACCAACTGCAATATGTACTTCCTACTGTATAAAAGCTTTACCTCCAAATGTAATTGTTGGTTTACGTAAGTTTGTGTCCACAAAAATAATTGTATTTAAGATAAACATTGACTGTGTGCCTTAATCTGGAGTGTTTTTTTTTTTTTCCAAAAGAAGCTGTACATTATCTATCAGCTTGTTTAAGAGAAAAAAAAGCTATTATATTATCTGTCTGTCTGTCTGTCTGTTTGCAGTGTCTTGAACTACTTTTATATTTATTTGAAGTGGATGTAGGCACAACAATAAGGGGACTTTAGAGGTGAAAAAACATATGCAACAATTTTCTCTTAACAACTTTCTGTCTAAAAGTTGAGTTCATAAATCACTACACGTTATAATCTGTTAGATTAGGGTTATGGAAGATGTGGAGATGGTAGGGTTCGAAGGAGGGGTCAGAGAGGAGAGACGAAGACCTGACCAAAAGGGTTGACTGGACACCAGGGGGCATGGGAGGAACATCCACAAACAAAGACAACTTAGTTAAACAGAGAACTTTGTTAAACAAAAGCTATGTCAGTTCAGTTTGAGCGTAGGAGGCATAGAGAGGTGAGAGACATGGTTAACATGGCAAAGCAGGACTGGCAGCAAAGACACTAAAACAGCCGGAAAAATGCCGTACTCAATCATGCTTAATAATGTTCTCTTCTGCACCAATATAAACCTGCTTAAGACCCTGTAGCAAACTTTTGGCTGAGCTTCAGTGTTGTGATAGCTGTTTTGCAATATGTTATAATTGATAATATAATTAAACTTTAAATCTCACATTGGAGAAATTTAGGCATTTAGGCAAATTTAGACATATTTGTTTGGACCAAACAGACGGAAAACCATTGGGGAGCAGTGGGCTGCCATTGTGCGGCGCCTGGGGAGCAGAGTGGGGTTAAAGGAAAGCGCGTTCACGACGCTACAGAAACCGCGACAGACCAAACCAGATGAAAGTGCGCATTCAGCGTCTGCTCTGCCGATAATGCAAGCGTAGAAGAAGAAATGTGCTGTTTACCTGTGCAAAGAAAGAAACAACGAAAGAAAAATGTCTGAGGACTTCAGTGTTGAGGAAGAGCATGAGTTCTTTGCCGAGCTGAATGCGCACTTTCATCTGGTTTGGTCTGCCGCGCTTTCCGTAGCGTCATGAACGCGCTTTCAGGAAATCCTATACACTACTGTTTAGGCTCTAAAAACATTCTAAATGACTTCGTTTCGAGTAAATTCTGGATGCTACCCACTCAGGACACTTGGAATACATTGGACGAGCAGTATGGAGGAATATTGACACGTTTTTTGTGGACTTTTATGGACCTTTCTGTCTCGGGCGCCATAGACCTCCATTATTTGAATGTCAGCAGACAGCAAGAAGCCTCCCAGATCTCCAGATGCATTTGAGATATCAAAAAAGTACTCCAGAGTGTTGTTCAGCATGGGGGTGAGTAGAAAATAAAGGCTAATCATGTTTTGGGTGTACTATTCCTTTAAGAGCCGTTCTCAGACACCCAGAGTGAAGGTTGTGGGGATCAAACCGGGTACTTCCAACCTTCTCAGAGCAGAAGCACACTGCTCTAACGCACCAGGAAAACACTCCCCCAATGTTGAGTTAAGGAGTAATTTCTATTTCATAGTTTTACTATTGATTGTGCCAACTGTATTAAATACTCACTGAGTAAAAAAAAAAAGCCTTTTAGGTTACTTTAGTAAAGAAAAGATGAATAAAATAGGTGAAACAAAACATTTTTAAGGTACAGAGATGTAGAACTGAAATTAACATTAGAGGTATGTTGCTGTGAGATGCTGTCAGACTAATAACCTCCTCACTTGAACTGGACGTTAAGCGTGATTTAGCTTGCTGTTTTTAGTGAATACAGTATTTAGAGATGGGAGGGATTTTGTGCTGCTAGCAGGACTTCATAATGGTTCCTCCTAGAGGATTGCTAAAACTGGCACTGTGAGGTAAAATAACATAAAACACATAAGCCACCTTGGCTAGATCAGACAGAAATGCGGAGGGCTGCAATTCGAAGTTTCGCACCAGGTTAGAAAAGCCCGGCACTGCCCTGGATCTCCCCTGTACAATTCAGGGCTAAACAGACTTGGGTTATAACAGAGTGGGAAGGAACAGAGGCAGCCGAAGCCTGATTATGCAGATGAGCAAGAATTTTTTTCTTAAGTGTCCTTGCGCCATGATCTGTCTGCTGATGGATCCGCAACATTGGCCAGATTCTGTCACGACCTTGAAACCTTGGAACCAATATTCAAAGCGGGATTGAAAACTCAGCCCAGGGGCTAAGAATATCAGGCTGATCAGTACTAGGAGCAAAAATTCACTCACCTGGTTATGAGTTCAGTCCAATCACAGGGGAAAGAGAAGAATCCGATAGGAGGATTGTCCAACCCTTGCGGCCAGGGCCACTTCCAGGATGACGAGCTGATGCCAACCGACGATAAGGAGGAAACAGTGTCCGTGAGGGAGTATCCAGAGCTGAAGTTGAATCAGAACAAGGTTTACAGAGAAGATCAGATAGATCAGATAGCCTAAGAGGTACTGGAGAAGAAACCAATACTAATACATAAGAACAATACAATAACAATATCAAATACTCATAATAAATATTTGAAAGGTGAGTAAAATTATTAGATTTTATAAGGCTTATTTCATTTTCAGGATAATTCTAATGCATTTGAATTTGTTAGCAGTTTTTTTTCAGATTTTGAAAATTATTTCAGCTGTTTCAATTAAATTGATTTTGTATTAAAAAATACTTGACCTAAAGATTCAGATAATAATTTGCAATGTTTTGAGGTTGTGTTCCAAATCTTAATAGATTAATTGCCAAAAGATTCTCCAAAGTAAAATCAAAGTGGTCTAAAATGACTATGAAGATGATCAAAGTTGGAAATTATTCCCTAATTATGTAGGGGCAGTGATAGGCATCCCAGTCCAGTGACTACCTGCAGTTCTACTATAAGGTGACTTGGTTAAGTTTAATGACCGGCGTACCTGACATGGAACAACTATACCATGCATATTGCTATAGGTTAATAGCCTATATAAATTAGGCTATGTATGCTTCGGAAAAAAAATTCCACCACCCCCCCCCACTTTTTTTTTTTTTTCATACAACTCAACAATTGATGGTAAGCCCAATCTAAGTGAACATTAAATAACCTTGCTTGGTGTATTTGCACACCAAAATGT